GCGTAGTAAATGTAACAGAGTTACTATTATAGCCGGCAATCGTAGCCGGCAGTCGAATAAGAGTGTCCTTATAGTAAAACTAATATAGTCTCTAGTTCAAACTAGGAATCTATATAGTTCGAAAAAACTAAACTAGAACTAGGGAGCTAGTTCGCCGCTAAGAAACCAAACTATATACGTTTAGTAGTTCGGAAACCGAACTACTATAGGGTCTAGTTTTAGTCTAATTTAAGCCTAGCCGGTAACTTAGCGAATTCGGATTAGACTATAGTACGCCCGTAACTCCTACGGATGTCTAAATCTTAGCTACCGACCCGCGAACTTAACGAAAATAAGGAAGCGGACCTAATAGACCTTAACTTGCTACCCGATATCGCTAAAATTTCAATTAACGCTAGGATAGCTAGTTTTAAAACTTCGGCCGGCGTAACAGTTTGCGCGGCTAACTCGGATTCTAACGCGGCGGCAGACCTTTAGTCTATCGCCGACAAATTCCTATAGTTATAGACGGATAGGGGCACGACGATTAACCTACTAAAGGACGAGTAGTTAGAACTTCCCCTTAAGTCGGGATAGGAAGATAAAAAGTTTAGTAGTAAGGTTTATCGAATGTCGGCGAAGGACAATATAGAAGTCGATAAACAGTTCGATAAACTCTACTTCTAAGGCAAGATAGCTTTTAGCGAAAAACCCTTACCGTTAGCTTAGCCGGTTTTCGTCGTCTAGAGGACGCTATTCCGCGATAATAGCTTAGCTTACCGCAAGCTACGCGTAGTTATCGACATTAGAGGCCTTAATAGCATATCGTAGAAGGATACCTACTCTCTTCCCCTCTAGGACGACATTATCGCTAAGCTACGTAGCTATATATATATCTTAGTAATAGACGCAAGGTCTATGTTCTATTAATTCGCGGTAGCCGAGAAAGATCGCTAGAAATTTATAGTAAACACTGCCCGCGGATAGGAATACTTAAAGGTCGCGGCGATAGGATATTATAATAGCGTATAATATATATAAAGGCTACTCGACCGCACTCTACGGGAATTCGGGGACGCGGCGAACGGGTATATCGATAATATAGTCCTAGGGTCGGTAGACCTAGAGTCTTATCGTGCCCTACTCGAACGCGTATTTAAAAAGATAGACGACTTACGATTTAGCCTAGAACCTAGGAAGGCGTACCTAGGTTTCCCCTCCGTCTAAATTCTTAGAAGAACGGTAGATAGGAAGGGATTCGCAACTTAGGCAGACAGACTCGTAGCACTACGGGAACTAGAAAAGCCTATTAACGCCGAATAGCTAGAACACTATCTCGGTCTAGTCGGCTACCTTAGGTCTACTATTCTATATTTCGGTAGAATTATACTGCCCTTATAGCAAGCTAAAATCGCCGCAATAAAGGAATACTAGGCTACCTAAACGAAGGGTAGAAGGCGCCGCGCCTAAATGCGGGGAGCAAAGCTATACTAGACCCGCGAAATAGACATTGCCTAGGACACTATATAATCTATATAGTCCGAAGACAGGAAGGGATTTCTCTAGCACTTCGACCCTACGTCTACCTTATATATCGACGTAGACGCCTCTAAGGAGTTTAGGATAGGCGTAATATACTACTAAGTCGACGGAGACTTAGAAATAGAATATAAGGAACCCGCCCCCGTAACGCGGAAAGATAATATAGTCTCCGATTTCGTCGATAGTACTACCTAGCTAAAGCGGTCTAAGTAGTTTCCCCGAGATAGACTAAAGATCTTAGGTTTCGCTAGTTATATACTTACGGGTGCCGAAGCGCGCTACTAGCTAACTAAGCTCGAATTGTTCGGAGTCGTCTAGGCAATTAAAAGGGCGTCTTATATAGTAGACGTAGTACTAAGGACTATTGTAGTTACCGATTATAGCGCGGTAACGGCGATAGCGAAAAAGACCTAGATCGCTACGACGGTATCTACGGCCGGATTAAACCGGAGAATAATCTAGGCCGCTATCTATATTTCTTAATTCGCGAGCTTAGAAATTGTCTATAGACTAGGACGTAATTATATCGCCCCCGATGCACTCTCTTAATTATAGGGCATACTCTCCCTCTAACGGGACGACGTTAACGCTAGCGGCTTAGACGAGATTCCTATAATATTAATAATACCGTACGACTTTAAGCCTGCCTTCGAAGGCGACGGCGCGTACGATATAAAAATCTCGAGCTAATCGCTAGACCCTACGTCTACCGCTACTACGCGTATACGTAGCCTTAACCTCCTAAATTTTAAAATAAATATTCCTACTCTTCTGCCTTTAGCTCTAGTAAATGTCCTCTCCCTATCTAGGATCGACTATAGCGAATGTTTCTTTTCGCGAACTAATAGATAGGAATACTACTATCGCGACGAAATACCCGCCTTTTTCTATAGTATTTAAAAGGAACCTACTCTCTACGTAGAAACGGTAATATCCCTCTCTAACGAGTTTAAAGCGAGACTTAGGAAAGTATACTAAGACGACCGACCGTAGCGGAGATTACTAGTAGTCCTTAAGTCTATCGAAGTCGTATATACCTAGGACTAAGTAGTACAACCCGAGCAGATATCGAATCGCTAAGTACGGAGGAGGCAGAGGCGTTGTAAGAAGGGTATGTTAGCAGGTAGATAGGGTGGTAGTAGGTATAGGTAGTATTCGATAAGGAGCTAGGAGGAGAGAGAGGAAGGCAGGCAAGTTGGCCTACTGCTAAGCGCTAAGCCCTGCCTAAGGCATCGAGACCCTAGCTTTACTTAACCCGGTTATATACCAATTACGTGTAACCTCTTTAGTCCTAACACACGCTTCCCTTCTAAAGGCCGCGCCCTCGTAGCCGGTCTTTGTTCTAATCTCAATCTCCGTTGCCGCTAACTTAGCAGGTCTAATAAGCCGCTTAGTCCGCGCTAAATTGAACGTACAACTACCGATTATATAACTATATCAAACCTTACCTCTAAACAATACAATATACAACTCTAACTGCGCTATCTCTATATATAATAAACTATAAAGTAATATATATCTATAAGAATTGAGGACCTTCGACTAATTACAATACGAGCGCGTCTTCCCTGCTATAATAGGTAGACGTACGAGGTATTACAGCCCTGCCTCCGTTCTAAGTGATGTCGTACCGAGTTCTTTGCGTCTACTCTAAAAGACCTAGCAATGTCCGCTTCCGAGGGTTTGTCCGCTTCTAAGGGTTATTATTCTTATTGTTACAAGGACTATTATTTACTGTCGTAGTTTTACTAGCCCTAATTAGTTAGGTTTAGCAGCCTTTAAGTGTCAACTAATTATATCTTTTTAAAAAACACAGCTCGTCTAGTTTCTATAGGTAAAGGCTATTATAAGTGCAGTAGTAGAGGTTCGCCTCGCTTAAAGGGTTAGATAGATCGAGGAGTAACCTATTGTCCGTAAGATCGACCCCGGCTAGCTTAGCTCTATAGTTTTGCCCTTAGTTAGTCTATTAGTCGCTTAATCTTTTAACTTAGTCAAAGTTTTGACTTAGCCTTAAAGTTTTGATTAAACCTTTAACAGGCTCAAGGCTTTAATCAAAGTTTTAATTAAGGGTGCCTTAGGCTCGTAGTGCAGGTAAGGTTGTGTCTATAGGCGTAGCGACAATAGCAAGTAATGCTAACAATAGTAGCGCTAGTCGTCTTAGCGCTAACTTTACCTTGCTTTCGATTTCCTTCTTCGACTAACAATATACCCTGCAACACCGTTACTAACATAGCCGCGCTAGCCATCTTCTAATACACCGCTATTCGTACGCGCGCGCGCGCATTCTCGTCGATTGCCTAGGCCTCGAGGCCTCGGTAGGATAAAGGAACAAGAGGTAGAGTCTTTAAAAGAGCAGTAACTAATTAACGCGTCGTAGCGCGCTTATTAACACTCGGTGCGCGTTTACTATAGTAGTGTAGTCCTATTGTCTCTTGTTGCTAACAATTGCTTGTAGCTAATTAGTTAACTAATAGCACCCCGGGGGTAGCATTAATCCTAGGCCTTAATAGTAACATTATAAGCTTTTAGCCTTCTTCTTGTTCTTTACGCTAGTCTAATACTTATCTAATAACTCGGTTATATCCTTAAAGGAACCTTTAGCTTCCTATAAGTCCTATTTAGGTAAGTAGCCTTGCTATCTTAACAGGTACTCCTTCTTGCCCTGCCTAGTCCGATGCTTTAGGATACGTTCTATAGACTACAGCTCTTCGCTATTAGCTAGTATGTCCTCGGATTTAGCAGGTGCTTTATCCCCTTCGCGCAGGTAGTACGGCTTAAGGAGGGACACATAGAAGGTATTATAGATAGTATAATAAGGTGGAAGCTATAACTAATAGGCCTAGGTGCCCCTAGGTTCTCGGATACGGAAAGGGCTAATGTACCTTAGTGCGAGTTTAGGCCTTGTTTTGCTATTAGGCGAGGGGTGTTTACGGATACGGAGGTTCTTTGTGCTAAGCATAACTAGGTCGCCTTGCTTAAAGGTTATTAGAAGGTAGTGTTTGTTATAGTAGGCCTTCTAATAGGCCTAGGCCTTTGCTAGTTTGTTAGCTATCTTAGCGTGAATTTCTCGCATCTTTTAAACCCTCTTAATAGCCGCTAGTGTCTTAGGTTAACCCGCTTCCCTTTCCTTGCGCTCGGCCTCGAGCGATAGGGGGTCTTATAGCATAGCAGCGTTCTAGCCTATTATAGCGAAATAAGGTGAAACCTTAGTAGATAAGTAGACACTATTGTTGTATACGAATTCGGCTAGTTGTAGGAGGTTAACCTAGTCGTTAGGGTTCTCGTTAATGTAGCTGCGCAGGTACTACTACAGCGTAGCATTTTGCCTCTCGGTCTAGCTATCTGTTTATAGATGGAACGCTATAGACAGGCGATGCTTAAGTCTTAGCTATAGGCATATCTTACTCTAATAGTAAGATATGAATGTCGAGCCTCTATCGGAGACTATCCCTTTAAGGGTTCCCTAATAGCTACAGAAGATGTTATTCTACAGTGACTTAGCTAAGTCAATAGCTGTCTAATCCTTCCTAGTAGGGATATAACGAGCGCCCTTAGTAAATCGGTCTACGACGACTAGGATAGCGTTAAAGATGTCTTTGCTTCCTCTTCGCTTAGTAGGGGGGAGACTTGTAATAAAGTCTATTATAAGCTCTGCAAAAGGCTTCTTTAGAACAGGGAGTGAAGACAACTCGCTAAATAGTAAGTGCTTTAGTGCTTTGACTCGCTAGCATACTGCATAGGTCTGTACATACTCCTTTATATACCGCTTACTATTTAGCTAGTAGTATATACGCGATAGTAACTCGTGCGACCTCTCTATACTATAGTAACTAGCGAGCTCACTGTTATAGTGCCTCTTTAAAAGCTTTTATCTAATCGATTGTTTAGCGGGGATATAGTATCTGCCCTTGAACTTTAAGTAACCCTTGTCGTCGATCGACTAACTGTTACTCTTGCTAGATCGAGTCGCCCGTCTACTTACAAGCCTATTAATACGCTCGATAGCAAAGGCGTCCCTCTACTAAGCACGTAACAGCTTATCTATAAACGATTGACTATCCCTATTTGTAAGGTTATTTAATAGCACCCTCGCTATTAAACGAGGTACGCATTGTATACATCTAATAGCACTAGCAGCCGGAACTACTGCAACCTCTTCTATAGTGCTGTCGCTATATAGACTATTACTATAAATAGCAATATCCTCAATCGAGTTATTATAGCTCGAGCGATCTACGTCCTTTCTTTTAACGTATACTAGAAGAACGACAACTCCGCTTTAGTATTTGTTGCCGCCGCGGGGTCCGGAGGTCCGCTTATCCTACGTTTGCTTATTAACAATACGGGCTATAGCAATCTTATGCTATAGGGTTAGAAATAATAAATTAATAGATTGCTAAGTCCCGCTATCGTAATTAGGTTGCCTCGATAGGCTATCGGCAGGGTTACTTACGCCTAGCCGATATAATATATTAAAATCAAACCTAGCGAGGTAGACGGCCTATCTAGCCTATCGACCTATAACCCTAGTAACCTTCGTGATTCTACGGAGGTTGTTATAGTCCGTATAGACCTAAATAGTATGCTATGCACTATCGAGATAGTAGCGCTAGTGCTTAAAGGCCTCGATAATAGCTAGGAGCTCTTACTCGTAGGTCTTATATCGACGCTCTATATCGATTATCTTTCGTAAAAAGAAGGCAATCGGGTGCTAGTAATAGTTATTATCTGATTGCTATAACATAATAGCCGATATAGCGAACTGTAAAGCGTTAGTCTCAATTCGGATCTGCTTGCTTAGTACGAAATAGTGCAATAAGGGGACATTAGTAAAGCGTTGCTTTAGGCCGTTAAAAGCGGCTTGTGCTCTGTTAGTCTATTTAAACTCTCTAGTTAGGTTGGCCTTGGTTTTAGTAAGCTTAGTTAGGGGCATTACATGCCGTAAATAGCCCTTAATAAACCGGCGGTAGAAATTAGCGAAGCCGAGGAACGATTAAAGCTCCTTAATAGACGTAGGAACAGGCTATTTAGTAATTGTTTTAATCCGATTAGGATTAGCCTTGACACTATTAGTTAATACGATGAAACTAAGGAAGGCTACCTCCTTAGTAGCAAAGGTGCATTTAGAAGGCTTGCAATATAGTCTATAGGCTCGTAGGCGATCGAGCACCTTACGGACTGTAGCCTAGTACTCCGCAATGTTAGGTAAGTATATATAAACTAGGATGTTATCTAGGTAAACTATACAGAGATAGTCTAATAGGCCCGAAAGGGCCCGATTAATATAGGACTAGAATGTTGCAGGGGCGTTAGCTAAGCCGAATAGTATAACTAAGTACTCGAAATAGCTATAGCGAGTACAGAAGGCTATTTTCTATTCGTTACCCTTACGAATGCGGATGCGGTAGTATGCATCCTTAATGTCTAATATAGTATAGTAGTAAGCACTAGAAAGGCGATCGAGGGTCTTATTAATAAGAGGAAGTAGACAGCGGTCTTTAATAGTAACAGCGTTAAGCCTACGATAATTAACACATAGGCGTAGGCTACTATCCTTCTTTAGTACGAACAGGATAGGGGCGCTAGCAGGGCTGTTACTATACCGAATGCGACTATTAGCTAGGTTTTCCTCTAGGTACTTACGTAATATAGCAAGCTCTCGTTTACTAAGGTTGTAGAGGGGTCTAAAAGGAACCTCCTTGCCCTCTATAATATTAATCTTGTAATCCGTCTCTTTGAATATAGGCAATATCGATGCTAAGTGGTGTTTAAATATATCGATATAGGTTTCTCGAATAGGCTCCGGTATACGAGTAAGCTAATTAGGGTCTATGCTATTAGGGGGCACAGGCTTATCGTTATCTCTACCGAGAAGATTAGCTGTCGGATTAGCTAAGGCGGAGGCCGGTGTTAGGTTGCTAATAAACAGGACCCTAATATCGTTAGGGCACTCGCTAATATTAATGTATTTAATGTCCTCTTTCCGAGCGATTCTAAATCGCTACTTCTAAATGCCTAAGTCTATAGCCACAGCGTAGTACTTAAGAACAGGGTTACTAATAACAATAGTAGCTCCCCTATATAGGTTGTCTATATCTACTGCGTAGGCAGTGAAGTCTAATAGGCGTTCATTTCCGAGGTCGTCCTTTAGAGCTAGAGGAACATAGTAGGCCCTATAGGTTAAGTGCCGAGCGTTATTAAACTAAGCAAGGGTTAGTAGGTTAGTCTTCGGCAGTTATCGAAGGTCTAATTGCTTAGCTAGGCGATAGCTAATAAGGGCACTAACTGAATTTCCTAGATCTAGTATAACCTTAGTTTAATAGGCGGTGCCCTTCGTGTCCTATACAAGGTAGGAGCGTATTATAGCTAGTACAATGTCGATAGTCTTACGCTATACAAGGCTAACAGTTAGTGCGGCGCTTACTCTTTTTTCGAAGGTTAGCCTATAGGGGTAGCGTTAGCTGCTAAAAGGTGTTTCCTATACTTAGCGGAAGCACGGTCAATTCGGGCCTAGTCCTTAGGTTTGTCGCATTAGCCTAGTAGATAGCTAGTACTGTTACAGTTGAAGCACTTTAATCCGGTTAGTAGACTGCCGTAGCTGTTGTTACTATTGTTAGCCGAGCGGTTAGCATTATAGGGATACGAGCCCCTTCTACGGCCCCTATCGCGGCCTCCTCTATATAGCCGGCGGCTACGGCCTCTTCTACGGTTATTGTTACTGTTCCTATTGTTAGTATTGTTGTTATAGTAGGAACCTTGGTTTCCTCCGCGGCTACGGTTGCTATAGTTAGTACTAGCTAGTCGGATCCTCGATTCTAGTCGTTATTAGAGCTAAACAGCCCGTTCGGCTATTTCCACTTCGACTATGAATTGAATGCGTATAAGATTAGTCTATTTAAACACACGGCGGCGGTCTAACTTAAGGACCAATTCCTATCTCAATTTAAGGCGTATTTCGGAGATCTAGATAGAATTAGTTTTAGTCGGGAGGTCGTCTTCGAGGGTCTTTAAATAGGCCTTAAATAAGCGAGCTGTCTAATTAGTCTTTTGCTTAGCCCGAAGGTACTAGTCCTAAGCGTGTTATTGCCTTAGTATAGGGTTTCTAAGAGTGTCTAGCATAATAGTCTTATAGGTTTTCTACTGAACAGTAGTCTAATTATTAAGGGAATCGAAATAGTCGTCCTAGGTGCGCTTTAGGTTACTATTAATATACTATATAGCGTAAACAACTAAGGAATAGTCGTCTAGAAGAGCCCTTAGTGCATTTCGCTAGTTAAGCTTACAATTACGTATATAATTATTGTATTGCTTGCGACTAGAGCTATCGAATACGGTATAGTCCTTAAGTTTAGCATCCTTCTTCTAGACTAGGACTAATAGTAAGGAAGGCCCTGCTATCGGCTTAGTATTAGTTATTAGGGCCTCCTAAAGGCGGCGAATTTCGAGGAGGTTGTCCTTTAGCTATTGTTCTTAACGTAGGGCAGTAAGCCTATTTTAGGTGGCTTCTTAGAGTCTCCCTACTAGTTGGGGCCTAAAGGCTAGCTAGCTATATCGTCGATTAACAATGTTGTTAAGAATGTCGTCGATAGGCAATTCTAGGTCGTTACCTAGAATTACAGGTTCTTCTTTAATAGGCTCTCCGGCAGGCTCTTTAGTAGGAGGCACTTTAGCAGGCACTTTAGCGGGGACTGTGCTACTAGCGTTGTTATTACTAGCGCTACTAGCGGCAGCACGGTTGTTGTTGCTTCGTAATAAGCCGGCTATTGTAATAGGGGGTAATACTAATAATGTATTATTAGCCCCTAAGATACGGATGTAGCGGAATTAGTAGATATTAGTCTAGTACGATTGACTTAGTGTAATAGGCCGTATAGAAGGCCTTGCTCGATAATTGGTACGGTTGTTTCGATAGGATAGTACGTGTAGGTCCCGTTCTTCGGGCGCAATATAGTTAGATTAGTCTTGTTCGTAGCTACACCGCTAAAAGCTTGAAATAAGGACTATCTAGCTGCTGCCCTTAAAGGGTAGATCGAATACTGTATAAGAAGGGTATATTAGTAGGTAGATAGGGTAGTAGTAGGTATAGGTAGTATTCGATAAGGAGCTAGGAGGAGAGAGAGAAAGGCAGGCAAGTTAGCCTACTGCTAAGCGCTAAGCCCTACCTAAGGCATCGAGACCCTAGCTTCACTCAACCCGGTTATATGCCAATCACGTATAACCTCTTTAGTCCTAATAGGCGTAAGCGCGACCGTAAAGCTAGACGGAAGAAGGCACACTCTAAGACCTAGGCAAAAGCCGCCCTAGAGACGGGTAGGGCACTTTCGGTCTACCCGGATTAGCCTCTAGCGTATCTCCCGAAGCTAGCCTCTTTACGCTCTTCGGAAGACACCGCTATATATAGTATATAGTATATACTCGAAAAACCCGACGACGTCCCGATAGACCTAAAGTGCCTAGATAGGATTAGATTTTTTCGGGAAGATAGCTTAGTTTACTATATTAACCCGACCTTATACTATTCCTGTCTATATATTCCTTTTAGCCTTACTTACGAGATCTTTAAGATAGCCTATAACCTTCGGTATTACGCGGGTTTTTAGCGTACCCTCGATCGCGTTAATATAAGTTTCTATATCCGGCACTGTCGCCGACATTTAGAACGCTATATCGACTAGTGCTATATATATAAGACGAATTAGCTAACGCGATATAAGCCCTACGGGCAACTCAATCCGATAGACGCGAAGTATAGGCTCCCTATAGACGTCTAAACAGCAGACTAGATTATAGGACTCCTACCTACTAACGAAGGTTTTAATACGCTCCTTATAGTAACCTATAAGAAGTCTAAACGGGTTTTGCTCCTCCCCGGCAAATGCTAGTAGACTGCAGAAACCTAGGCAGCCTAGTACCTTACGGCTATCTAAGAGCGATCTTAGCGAGTCGCTAAAGTCTTTATCTACGATCGAGACCCTAAATAGCTATCTAAATTCTTTACTATAATAATAAAGCTACTAGGCGTATTAATCCTCGCCTTTATAGCTTACTATCTATAGATAGACGGCTAGTCCGAGCGTACAAATTAGACCGTTAAGATCGCTATACGGTATTTTGTTACGGCAAATCTAGATATATAGTAGACAGACGTCCTTCCCTCCCTTATATCCTATCTCGGGAGTATTAAGAATGCGAGCACCGGCGTCTCGTTCGATAAAATGCTTTTCGGGTTTAATTTAAATACTAACGCCTTTGTCGGGCTCCGAGAACTATAGCTAAAGGATTACGTAACGCTACGATAGCAATTTCGGGACGCAGCCGAGGAATCTATAGCCTTCGTAGCGGTAGATATAAAGCACCGCTACGATACTAAGCATTAGCATATATTCTTCGAGCCGGGAGACTATACTATACTTAGGCTATATTACGGGTATCGCGTATATAGTTAGAGCTATCGCAAATATAGCAATTAGGCTATAGGCCCTTTTAAGATTAAGAGAAGAATAGGCAAATTAGCCTATAAATTAGAGCTGCCTAAGTTAGTTAAGTTCTACCTAGTAATATCGATCGCGTAGCTCGAGCCTATACTAAATCTAGTAAAGGACCCCTTCTCGAGACCTTATCCCCGCGTTCTAGCCCTAATAGACCTATAGTCTAAACAACCTATAATAACTCCTAAACGCGTTTTAGCTAAACGTAGCTTAAAGGGAAAGACTAAATATCTAGTAAAGTAGAAGGACGAGCAACTAATAATAAATAAATAGGTTAGAGAAGACGAAATACGAGAAGGCAACGAACACCTAATTAAAAGATTCGAAGACTCGCAGGTTACGGACAGACAAGTAAATCAAATAACGCCGTCTATAACGTAGAGGGAGCCGAGATATATTGCTACGAGATCGACACGACCTAGTTAAGATAGTAGTAGCGGTAACAACGTCGACGGGAACGTTAATAGATAGGTATAGCCTATACGACGCTAGCTACCGAGAGGGTAGAAGAAACTAGTATATATTAACGAAAGCGACGATAAGTCTATCGGCAGCCTCTCTAGGGAGTAGTAGACCGATCCGTCTCTACTAAATACAACCTTAAGCGAGTAGAACCTAACTATAGGCAATAAAGCGCTGCGACCGGAATTAACTAGCTCCGACATATATCGCTACTAGATAACTCGCGACGTAGCCCCTAGTAGTACGCTAAAGGAAGGCCTAACCCTAGGTCTATCTAACGTGTCTAACTAGAAAGCAGGGGATATAAAGAAGAGGACCCTAATTCCGACGATACGGCGTCTTACTAAGGATAAAATTTAGCGATAGCGCGACACCCCCACGCCTCTAAATACCTAGGTAGGAGCCTATCGAAGAATTCTGCTGTCCTTGTTTACGACGCTGCAATTCCCGCTTATTACAGCGAATCGGTACCTTAACCCCCGGCTACAGGTTTTCCCTCCTATAGAGGAAATTTAATAGTATTTCTGCTAGCATTACCTCTATAGATTTAGATATAGGTTTCGAATACCGATAGACGTAGACTTCCGGGCTACCTTAGCGGAACTAATAAATTCTAGAAGTCGTTTTCCTCGCTTATCGCTTTACTTCGAAAGTTTGTTTTAAGGTTCGCGTATATACGCTACCGTTAGTCGCGTAAAAGCGCGCGGAAGCTCGGACCCTACCGCGAGGTAACCTTTCTCCGTCCTTCTTCGCGTAACAATTACTCTATATATAACAATATACTACAAGTTAGCGGTATACCGTTACTACTATAAGCATCTTAGTAATATCCGCACTTAATATCGACTACGCCCTACTAGCTTACCGCGCTATCTATAGTAAGCGATCCTAACCTCCTACGCTAGCGTAAGTAGAGCGGTATATTCGAGATATTACCGTTACCGCGCGACGACGACAACCCTAGTAAAGGCTAAGGACAGCCGCGTCCTATATCTACTAATAGTAAAGAATAGTAGCCTATTACTAAGGATAATAGAGAATAGCAGCCTATTACTAAGGAGGATAAAGAATAGTAGCCTATTACTAAAAATAGTAAAAAATAGTAGCCTATTACTAAGGAGGATAAAGAATAGTAGCCTATTGCTAAAAATTATAAAGAATAGTAGCCTATTGCTAGAAATAGTAGAGAATAGTAGCCTATTGCTAAGGAGGATAAAGAATAGCAGCCTATTGCTAAAAATAATAAAGAATAGCAGCCTACTACTAAAAATAGTAAAGAATAGTAGCCTATTACTAAGGAAGATAAAGAATAGTAGCCTATTGCTAAAAATAGTAAAGAATAGCAGCCTATTACTAAGAAGGATAAAGGAGAATAGCCTAGTGCTAAGAATAGAGAAGAACGATAGTCTATAATCGGAAATGCTAAGGAATAAGAATAGCCCGCAGAGGCTAGGGAGCAAGAGTAGAATACCTACGCGGACTTAGGAAGCAAGTCTAAGTCTACTAGTACGCCCTAAGACGTCGGCGACCCGATAGAAGACGTCGTTTAGTCGACTAAAGACGATAATTATACTAGCGAAGACGACGGAGACGTCGGCGATCTAATAGAAGACGTCGTTTAGTCGATTAAAGACGATAACTACGCTAACGAAGAGGTCGACGAAGTCGTCGATAAAAAAGAAGCCGCTAAGCGAGCGTGTAAGAAGAAGAGAGACGAGAAAATAAAGAATACTATACTATTGCCTAGGAAAGGCGAACTTCTAAGAATCCCCTACCCGGATATAAAGCCTAATTTCTCTAATATATTTCCCTATATCGATAGAGCCGGCCTGCCCCTTAACGCTATTTCAGATATTCCGATAGCGATAGCGCGTACTCTAAACAATATAGTCGGCCGCAATAGCTCGCTCCTTTACGAAATCGCTATAAATAAGAGGCTATATAGCGTAGAGCTCTTCTTACCCGACGCCCTAGTCTACGTATCGCGCTAGATAGCCTTTAGCGTATAAAGGAGCGAGTATACTCTTACCGGACAATTCTAGGACTTAATCGGCGCCTAAGGAGCCTACCTCTACGATACCTAATAGCGTAGTTAGGATAAGTCCGCTAAGCTATTCTATAAGACCTATAACCGTTTCGGCCGGAAGAAACTCGACGTCCTAGAACAAAAGCTTATAAAGGAGGGCGAAGTTAACCGCAAAGCCTTAGTCTATCGCAAGTAGGCTAAAGAAGAGGGCTAGAAGGTAAAGCTACCCGTTAAGGCTCTATAGATTAAAACCGAGACTAACGACTAGAAGGCCGCCTACCTTAACTAGGTTAAGAAGGCTTAGACTAAGTAAGCAAAGTAGTATAAGAGAAAATTCAAAGGCCGCAATAAGGAGCTAGGGCTCGATATCTATAACTACTACGAGTAGGTAGATTTAAAGAACTTCGTCGACAAGTATAATTTCGACGCCGACGAAGATAAGCCTACGGACGCCTAGAAGAACGCTATTTTAGGCGCTCGCGCAGCGATGCGAACGTCCGATAGCTAAAGTATCTTACCTAAAGGATTGCGCCGATACCTTACGTCTATCTAGCTCTATTATTTCGACCTGCTCCTATATAAGAACGCGCTCGTCGACTCCGATAATATATATAGATCTATTAAGTATACTAACTAGAAGCATATCCTAGCCGGCGAACCGCCTAAAGCAATCTATAAGAAGACCGGCGAGCTCTATCCCCTAAAATAGATATAAAACTACGAAGAAGGCCTAGCGAACCTAAAGTTTAGCGTAGATATCTATTCGTAGGAGTAGGCTATAGCGGGCGAACCTCTCGTCTACGGTATTAACTACGATATACTTAGTAGCGACGACTCTATCCTATATAAGCTACGTAAGCCGGAGGATATCGCGATGCCTATATATAAGGTTCCCTTATATAGCCGAAACGCGAAATGCGCCGACCTCTTTAAAGAGCTCTATTAGGAAAAGATATCCGAAATAGCGCTAGCCTACGTCGCCCTAGTATACTAGATAACTAAAGGCCAAACCTGCCTTAAGATATATAAGGAGGCTAAAAACTGCTTTATCGGACTTTTCTCTAATAGTATTAGCCTACTACTAAACGCCGAAAGCGAGCCTAGCAGAATCGCGGAGTACCTTAAGGCTATCTTCGATAAGACCGGCGAGGAGTGCTCTAATACCCTAGACTAGTCGAAGCCCGCCGTACTTAAGGGTAAGCTCCTATTAATATAGCGATCTACGTATATATAGCTAATCGCCGAACTCGCTAAAAATTAGATATAGCAGTTAGTCTAGGGCGACATCGAATAAGATTTCTGCCGCATAATCTAAAATTTCTAGCTATAGCTAGGACGGTTCCCTCTAGGCCTACGCGCGTTACTAATAGACTTAATATTTAGTCTCGTACTAGCTACTAAGGGCCTTATCTTCTAGGACATTCCCCTAACCTACTACGAGCTAAAATCCCGAGAGGTAATAACCGAGGGAGGCGTGCAGCTAGAGACACTATCCTTTCCTTTATATATAAAGGAGAAGGAGAAGCTTAAAGCTAAGGTATTAAAGAAATTAGACGCGATCGAGCAGAAGCACTACGAGGAGAAGAAAGCTAGCAAGGCCGCCGCAAAGGCCGCTAAAGTAGAAGCAAAAGCGGCTAAGCGCAAACTACTAGCGGCTACTAAAGAGCCTAAGAAGCGTAAAGTACCTACCGCCGACGAGGCGCCGACTCTAAAGAAGCTAAAATCTATAATAGTAACTACGACTATAGTAGCTAAATCTCCTTACGCGAAGGCAAAGCGGATTACCGCCGCTAAAGACGAGGCTACGTAGACTACTACGTAGGACCCTTCGTCTACCTAGCTAGAATAGTTAGGTACTAGCAAAGCCTCTAGTAAGGGGAAATTAGCTAAGAAGGCTAAGACAAGTAGCGCGGATCCTCCGATCGACGCGCGCGACTAGGACCCTTCGTCTACCTAGCTAGAATAGTTAGATGCTAGCAAAGCCTCTAGTAAGCGAAAATTAGCTAAGAAGGCTAAGATAAGTACCGCAGATCCTCCGATCGACGCGCGCGACCTGCCTACGCTAGGAGACAGCGGTATTACTCTAAGGGGCCTCTTTATAGACCTAACGTTCTAGCTTCTATTCGGGCGCTATAGATTTATACGCCTATTCGACGTTTTGCGTAAGGCTTATAGCGGCCGAACCCTCTACGGCGACGGTCTACGTCTATCTAAGACTTAGGAAATAGATTTCGTTCGTCGCGTAGCGAGTATAACGGAACTTATAATAGAGGTAGGATACGTAATTATCGCAATGTTCCCTAACTAAGAGTAGCAATAGTATCTAAACTATATTGCGGAGATAGCGAGGAAGTTTAACTATAACTGCTTTAACGCCTACTTCGATACTACGGAGCTAGCTAAGAAGATACGATCGTTTATAGCGGGATTAAAGAACGACGAAGTCTTTCCCTAGGAGGAATATCTTCGGGATATTCCCGCATCCGAGAAAGCCGTAGATATAAAGATTTTCGGCGACTAGTCGGTATATATACTTAGCTATTCCCTATAACAGATTAAGGAAGCAGTCGAAGGCGGTTAGACCGACCTCCTAGCCCTAATAGACGATTTCCTAATAGCGGCAGTTCCTATACTACTAAAGGCGGCGGTATTACGGTACTAGATATAGGCAGTTATTCTCCTACGTATTAACGATAAGACTAGAAAAATCCTTTATATCGGACACTATAAGTACGACAAGTAAGCTAAGTAGTTAATCCGCTTCCTAGGTAGGGAACTTAAGGACAATACCGGTTAGGTAGGCGTCCCTAATAGGCGTAGCTATATTGTATCTACTAAGGAGATGCCCGCTATGCCTTAATCCGACCTCTGTAAAATAGCGAGTATAAGAATCTTAGTAGGACTAGACAGCTTAGACAGAGGCAAAGCTAGTACCCCTAGCGCTACTATAGTCGTTATTCCTACGGCTAGTACCCCTAGCGCTGCTATAGTTGCTAACCCTATAGCTACCGCCGCTACCTCCGGCGCCGCTAATAACGATACCGCTATTACTACTAACCCTATATCTATCGCTAATATAGACAAGAGCAAATTCTAACTCCCTATCGATATCCTTCGCGATAAAGGCTAGAGTAGCTTATTCGTCTAGATCGCCCTAGTAGAGCTTACTAGGAAATAGTAGCTAGGAAGCGAGCCGGAAGAGTTGCAAATGTTCGTAGGAGTCCTCGCCTATATAGTCGTAGCAGCAATAAAGGAATAGAATTACGTTAAGAATAGGGAGTCTCGCGAGTAGTTATTAGAAAACGAGAGAGCCTTATACGACTACGCTATATCTATCGCAAAGAAATTCCTCTAAGCCTATAACGTCCTTTCCGAGGAAATTCGCGACGATATTATAGCCTATACTAAAGACAATATCGACTAGGACAACGAGAATTTAGAAGAATAGAATAGAAAGCTTACCGATACGGAGGACGTTATTAACTACGTACTAGAACTCTCCTATTTCTAGAATACGGATAGTATAGTTAAGGAAGACGTAGAATAGTCTACCCTTCGTCTACTATAGGCGATAGACGCGATCTAACGCTCTAATACTAAAGCCAATTCCGAGAAAGCCGCGATTCGGGCGATATAGGAATTGCTACAGAACTAGGCTACTAGACTTACCTACGACTCCCTTATAGATATTATAGCCGAGCTCGCTAGATTAATCTAGTTAGGAAAAGAGGAAGACCGCGCCTATATTAGCACATTTATCGCTACCGCCTTTAACGCCCTATACGTCCTATATAGAAAGAATACTATTAGATTCCTAGAGCGCTAGGCAGCGGCTAAAGGCTTAGAATTAGTAACCTAAAACTACTCGATTATAGCCGAGTAGGCGACGCGTAACGCGCAAGTTATTAAAACCTAGACAGAGACTCTATAGTAGACGACGGTTAGTCTATTAAGTATAGTTAGTATACCTATACGAGAATACGATAGTATTGTAAGTCTATTATAGGTATAGTCTACGTAGTCGCGAACATTTCGCGACCGGGGGATTTTGTTACGAAGCTAGGAGGGAAGGGACACCTAGGCGGCTACTACTAGCCGCCTTATAGGCATACTTCCTCCGTAGCTAGATAGATATAATATAAAACAATACACTTTAAAACTACGTTTCGAACTATAACAAATAGGAGATTCTTACTAGATAGACTAGTCGTTAGATTTGCCTTCGAACGGTCTAATAAGAGACGATAGTATACCGTTAGGCGTAATAATGCCTTAGAACTTATAGCTGTACTTCTTCTTATATCTAGTATAGTAGATTTGTTAATCGTAAGTCGATCGAAGAGGCCTCGTAGTACTATAGAACGTACTATTAATAAATCCCTAAAAATTGCCTAGGTATCCGGCTCGTTTAATACTACGTGCGAGGCCTCTAATAATATAATATCGTCTTAATCGTAGGTACTAGTAAACGAGGCTTCTAAACTATTCCTCTATATAGAGGATTATATCTAAGAAGATTGTCGATAGAAAGCATTTAGGTCGCCTAAAGTAGTTATATAGGTCCTTCTAGCGATATAAATACGATAGGCGGCGACATATAATATAGAATACTAGTATTAGATCGTAGGTATATCGATTAGACTATATAATAGTATTAATTCGCAATATAGTCGATAGGAAGCGAATCTCTATCTTACTAAACCTATATCCGCGGTAATTAGCTAAGTAGCGATAGTAAGGTCTAGTCGCACTTCTAACGTTAACTTAATAACTAATAACAACCTCTAAATTGCTATATACGGCGATATACTATTAAATCTATTAAGAAAGCGACGTATCTATACTCGTCTTCTACCTTAGTATTAATATAGTCGTCTAGCGACTATACCTTAATAGTATACGGAATAGTTGGCCGCGAGCGGAAACTACGGTCTCTACGCTTTGTATAGACCTAAGCGATTAATATAGCGACGATTGCCGCTAGGCGCGACCTTACGACTGCTATTTTGCCTATACCGCGCTTCTACGCGCTCGAGAACGCGATATCTACACGAGAACACAAGGCACGCGGAAGAGACGGAATTACATAATATATTAGGCTCTTAGCGACCATATTGGGTTGTATAGCGGCACCTGTTTGGCGGCATAGGGGTGCGGCGAAATCCCTCTTTTGAGACGAGGGAAGGAAGCAGCTCCATCAACTTGTTTCATCCCGTCATCATGGATGCCTGAGCTTGGACGTGGACGTGGACGTGGATGTGTAGTCGTGTACCAACTGCGCTGCGCTGAGTCGGCAAATCGATCATGTCCGCAGCAGTAGTGGTAGTAGTTCACTCTGCCACCCGCTCCCAAACACCACTCTTCAGCTGGCTCCGCGGGCGTGTATGTCCAGTACTGTATGTATTCCTGCAGCTTCTCCCTTCCCGTCCATCTCCATCTCCATCCTCAGGCTGTGGCTGTGGCCGTTGCTGGGCCGGCACAGTGCATGAGCACCATCCTAAAGTGTAACCAGTTTAGCTCGCATTGGACGAAGCCAAGAAGCCCTGTCCGAGTGGGCTCGCCTCTCACTACTACTGCACGCAGCACGTCTGCCATCTCACTACTACTGCGAACCACTCCACAGCGCCGACATCTTCGACACACCGCAGTCGCCCTCGGTACTGCGCCCACGCTCGTTCACCACCCCATTGAGCCCCATTGCGGCACATGCGGCTGCCGAGAGACGCTGAGCACACTACTGTGAGCCGACGATAACACGGGGGCCCGTCAGAGCAGTGCAGTGCAGTGCAGTGCCCGGGAGCGAGCCAACGAGCGACGCGAGGCGAGGCGAGGCAACACTCTTGCTCTCTGCATTCTGACAGCGGATCGAGAGCAAAAGGAGGCCGCATCGTGCCTGCCCTGGACACAGCGCGCATTACCCCGGCGTCGACATCATCCTGCCGCCGTACCAGCGCATAAGCGCCGCGACCGCGACCGCGATCCACGCCTGAGCCTCAGTATCTACACTAATGACTACCGCAATGGAGTCGCCCGGCTTCGAATCGCCCATGGGAGAGGAAGACGTCGTATATCCGTGCAAAGGCTGTGGGGAGGTACGTATGCGGGTGCTGAGTCGCGCCAACAGGAAACGAGACCTGACACGGCATACAGATTCTAGAAGAAGGAAAAGCATTTGAACTTGGTACGTCTGACTGAGCTGAGCCTTGTCGCCGCTCTATACTGCACGATGCGATGAATGGAGAGCAAAGTATGGCTGACTTGGTGCTAGCCGGCAACCGCTGGCATATCGACTGCTTCCGATGCAATACCTGCGGAACACTTCTCGACTCCGACGCGAACCTATTACTACTCGGCGATGGCAGTCTCATCTGTAATAACTGCACCTACAGCTGCAGCGCATGCGGGAACAAGATCGAAGACCTTGCCATCTTGACTGGCGACCAGGCATTCTGCTCTGGTTGCTTTCGATGTCGCAACTGCAAGAGAAAGATCGAGAACCTCCGCTATGCCCGCACATCCCAGGGCATATTCTGTATGAGCTGTCACGAGAGCTTGATGGCCCGGAGGCGGAAGAAAGCGCGCACGCCCAAGCAGCCTCCGCCCAGTGGTACACCAGGCGCGGAAAAGGCGCTGCCGTCTCTTCCCCCGGGCGCTGCTGTGAAGAGCGCTTTTACGCCTGAAGGCGAGGCGCCGTCGGAGCAATATTCCGAAGGTCCGACACCGCAAGGGCATATGTCGCCAAACCAGCGACAGACGACATCGCGAAATGGAACAGCATTGAACAACTTCAACCGCGACGCGTCACCGCTGTCCGATGACCTTCGCCGAGGTGGGTTCACATGTGCGCACTAACTGAAACTTGGTCGTGGCTGATAACATCTAGATGGTCCTACACTGCCAGCGAGCACCTACGGCGAGAGCAGGCCTTCGAACGTATCGAGCTCTGTCGACGACGATGATTCCGGCTACCTGCCGATGGCCTTTGACCCGACGCCTGTCACAGCTGCACCCGTGCAGCAACAACAGCAGGCGCCGATACCACGCAAGCAGCTTTCTCGAGCTGCAGATCCCTCACCACCCGCGCAGAAAGAGAATCAGCCTCCCAGAGATTATTTTGGCGTCAACGGGAAATCGTCTGCGAAGCCGCCTTCTAGAGATGCCTCGCGACAAGACGCACGGCTGGGAGCGGAGACCGCGTCTTCGAGATCCGTCTCTACGGAGCGTGAACCGGATCAAACTCGCTCCAGCAGCCAGTCGAAGCCGAGTCCACATATTTTGTATCAAGAAAAGGGGAGAAGTAGGAAGCGTGAGACATCTGGCAACAATACGCCTGTGATTGGCTCGAACACAGCATCTCCCGTCGTCGCTCCTGAGCCACGCGAACGGAACTACAAGCCCACAACCCATCAATTGCCAACAGATTCCCAAGCATTAAACCAGAATGACCAGGATGCATTCAAGCTGCAAGATGTCCCCGACTCCAGGAGGGCGAATTCACGAAAGAATTCAAAGGCAGGCCTGAACTCGCCTCTTGTGGTCTCGCCTGTCGATAAGACGCACAGGGAGGACCGTTCAAGCAAGCCAATCTCGCCAGTCTCGGTGAGCTCGCAGAACTCCGGAATCAACCCATTCGATGATCCACGCAGAAAAGAGACACCTATTCCTGGGGTGACGCCCGTGCAGCCCATTCCGCCAAAGCATGCCGACAGGGGTCTGCCACTGCGAGGAGACTCCCTGGCTGCAGCAGCACTCAAATCAAAGCAGTCAACACCGGATCTATCTCCTCCCACCACAACGTTTACATCGACGCAAGTGCAGTCAGCGCATGAGCGTAATCGATCTGTATCGTCTGTGCCCTCTTCATTTGCGGACGCGCGAAGCACTCTCTCCCGAGATAACAGCCTTTCGAAAGCAGAGCGACGTTCTCAGGCTCCTCCACGGACGAGCTTCGATGCGCCCCCACCACGTGCAGCCTCACGACCAAGCGCACCCAGCAAATCGGTTGCGAACGACGACTTCATCGCTCCGAGACATGCGCCGCCACCGCCACCGCCAGTTACGGAAAGGCATAGACACAACGAGTCCATCAGTACCTTGCAGAGTGAAGATAGGCCGTCAATGGACGGGCTTCACTCGCCAGCTTTACGGAGCGCTGGGCTGCCGAAATATAGCTTAGATGGTGGCTTTTCCATGGAAGACGAAATGGGTCGAATTCTTCGCGGAGAACTTGGTCAGCCGGACGGTAGAGCTCCAGGTTCCTCGTCGCCATCTGTTCTGCGGAAGGTGTCGAATGCTGTCAAGCATGGCAGGAGTTTCAGCGATCGCGCCGTGACGCAAGGTGCGAGATCGCCGAGGAATGGACCTATGGAGGTTGGCACACCCACCATCACCAGCCCAAATCTGAACATTACCTCACCGACTGGACTCGATGGCCTGGACTCTTTACGAGCATCATTGCGACGCGCGCAAAACCACATCGCCGAATTGGAAGCCGAGAAGTTGGCTCTGCAGGAGAAGCTCGATGCACCAGAAATCAAGAGCGTCAACAACGAGCTGCGAGAGAAGCGCTCTACCATGGCATTCCTCGACACTCAGCGTGAAATGGTGGTTCGGGAGCTTGAGGTAATGACCGAGCATCTGGCCAAAGCCAAGGACAACACCCAGCCACTGGATCTCGGCTCACTCAAGACGAATATCTTGCGAGACTTTGCGACATCACTTCAGCAGCTGAAGGACAGTATGGGAGCACAGATCGAAGATTTGATGCATAGGCGGAACGAGTTGACAGATGAGATCGGAAACCTCATTCAGATGAAAGACAAGGGTTTCCAGGAATATGAGTCGCTTTCATCCAAGAACACACAGCTGGCGCAGCATAACAACGAACTCATCCGAAGCATACAAGGCATGTACCAGGAATACCGCGCACCGAATGGAACACCAACTGGCGCCAACGGACTTGGTATTTCTGGCGCAGCTCTCAAAGCGGATGCCACTTCATCTGAAGTGCGGAACCTCAACCCTGTCATAACGGATCCGTCAATGCCGAACCTGTTACAAGACCCTGAAGCAGAATCTGCGACGGTACTCACTGCGCCACAAGTTGTGAACATTCGCAAGGGTGGTCAAGCGAAAAAGTTCAACTGGCGGCGAGGGGGTGAAAAGGTCGCCGGCAAGGTCACAAAGGGCATCAAGGGCGCATTTGTGGGAGTTGAGCACAAGCCTCAAGGCTCAGGCCAGTATGCAATCGGTATGCCTTACAGTTCAACACAAGCAGTCGCAGGCAGCGAGCAGAGCAGCATTGCCAGCAAAGTCACTCTTGGTGACGACAGCAAGGGCTACGGATTCTTCAATCAGAAGAATGGAGGAATCAAAGGCGGTCTCGGACATCTCAAGAATAACAGCAGCACCAATCTTGTCATGGATCCATCTGGTAAGTATCTTACGCAAGTTGATATCATGAGCCAACTGACAAAAAGCAGTACTCTTTGGATCCGAACTCTCTGCCCGATGCGACTACGAGCGCCAAATGGTCCCTGGCATGGTTGTGCGCTGCATTGCCGAAGTCGAAATACGTGGCATGGACGTTGAGGGCATTTATCGCAAATCAGGCGGTGCTGGTCAGGTGAAGAACGTGCAGCAAGGCTTTGAAAAGAACAACAACTTCGATATTTCTGACGAGGACCTGGACATTCACGCCGTCACTAGCGCTCTCAAACAGTACTTCAGGAAGTTACCGACACCACTGATCACCTATGATGTATACGAAGCACTGCTTGAGGCTGGACAGTTCTCCGACCGAGAAAAGCAAGCCACAGCATTGAAGGCGGCAGTGGAGAGCTTACCAGATGCTCATCGAGATACCTTGTCCTATCTAATGGTGCATCTTGCAAAGGTCATGGGACATGAGAGCAAGAACTTGATGACGCCTCTCAATCTTGCTGTGGTTTTCGCGCCGACCATTATGCGACCTCTGAGCATCGAGCGCGAGATGAGTGATATGCAAGTGCAGCGTACCGCTGTACAAGCCATGCTGGAACATCATAAGACTGTCTTCTCCGACGAAGACTAGGAGAACGAGGATGAGACGGACGAGTACGCGCATCTCTGCACTCCTCTACAATACGATCCGCCATCTTTGCGCCTGAAATAGGGAACTGGCCTTCGAAGACGACTCAGCAAAATATCTCGTGGTTCAGCTTCACCCGATGTGGCTTACCGTGGGAAGTATCAGCCTTCTCAGCATTTGCATGACCGAGTTACTTTGCCTTGTGGCTTGGATGGGACGTTTCTTGGACAGCCTAGGAGTAAGAGAGGGAAGCAGGCATACCGAGGGCATGGATGTCTTTGGACAATGATTTTCTGCGGCTCCTGTCGAAATCCCCAGACTGAGGAAGAAGACTTGTTGCTTTTGTGATGATGTTATTTAGCGTTTGGCTGGCGATGTCTTTTTTTCTGCTCTGCCTTCCCCCCCCTGATTCTTGGAGAGGTGTGTTTTAGAAATACCCACATCTCCTCGTCGTGACCGATCTTTCTCGATTGGATAAATTGTCGATGAAATAGAAGGCGAGCGAATTGCATATGAGCTTTCAAAAGTCTTTCTGAGTTTCACATCTTCGCTAATCCAATCTTTAGCTAGTAGTCCTACTGGATTGACGTTTGAGGCATGCTGGATCTATACTGATGCATCATTCCGAGATAAAGTACCGTACAGGCAGGTACTGCCTGAGGGTTGCCGAGCGAAGCGAGACCTGAGTAGAAGAACAGCCAGAACTTGTTGTCATGGTTGTCGTCGTTGTTAGGCAGCAAGGCAAGAGTCACGTGCGGGGGACGTTTTGATTTCTTCCAATCAGAAGCCGAGTCTGGATTTGTATAAGCGGTTCTTCAAACTGAACCCCCGGCGCACAACCTGCACGTGATATCGGTATTCTATAATCTAATGTCCCAGACTCCAGGTCCCGTGTCTGGAAAAGGAACGCAGGACTCTCCAGTCGAGATTTTTGACCTCGATGTACCACTGCCGGCTTGCCGGCTTTTCCGCAGAGGGGACAATCTGCGACAAGTGATTCTGCCTTCGCCATCTATATTCGTTCGCGGCGCTACGGAGAATGCCAAACAATGGCAGCGAAAAGGGGAAAGCGTAAGTGCGAGGCTTTGGAAGGAGATGAAACAAAGCGGATGAAGCGGACGCAGCGAAGCGGGATGTAGCAGGTCAATTGTGCAACTCTGCTGGGATAGCGTGTTATAGAGGGGCATAAGCGTGGCTTATTATTATGCTCATCGCTTCTGCCGCGATGGGAAGCTCGGAAGTGTAAAGGACGTCTGTAAGCATAAGCTGAAGGACCCCTAGCATCGTCAAAGAAGCTACTGATGAGACCTCACACTTCCAACATTACGACCAGCCTGACTATACTGCGTCCACCCTGCCGCTTCGTCGACATCCGTCCCATTTCGTAAAGACCCGACTATCAAGCGACCTTGTCCCGGACCTTAGGTGATTTTGACGGCTGATAGACGAGCTTGAATATCCCTAGGTCGACTCTTATGAAACGATCTGTCGAACATCTTCACATTGGCCATGGAGCGGAGCGGAGCAGATAAGGTCTCTTACCTTCTGTCGACCTCGACGTGGTGTTCTCGTCGAAATATGGGCCAAGTGAGCCTGTCGTTGTCGCGCCGCTGCTGAGGTCTGTTCTCGGAGCATGATCGGGATAGCTAGTAGTATGAAGCAGGTATACGGTCGTATTGGATACGGCTGACACGGAGCGAGACAATGCAGTCGTATGGTAGCCGGTGGATTGCGGCTCGTATAAGAGGTGTAAGCATAATGGTTTGCCGTGGCGCCTGTCCACTTCTAGGGTTGATAACAAGGCAAGTATTGGTGCGATTTTGAAGCCCTTGCTGTTACCGTATTATCGCATGGTATAGGCCTGTAAATGAGGAGCTCCGAGTATCTGGATTCTTACGACCTGGCTAATTTCAAGTCCATATAACTGGGTGCCCCCGGATAAACCCTTGTGGTGAATACACACAGCTGTCCCTATATAAATGAGGTCGAACCGAAGCAGCAATGTTATCGCTCGACACAGCACCCACCCACTACTAGACCCGGTCAGACTACTATAGCGGCTTGCAGTGTCCCTGCTCATCCAAGATTCAAATATCTGTCAATCGCCTAACGAAATCGGCAATGTACCTCAACAGCCTGAAAGTAGCTTTGCTCTTTCTGTTACACTTTTGCGATGGAAAACCAGTCAAGCCACTTAATGGCATAGCGGTGAACATCTTTCCAAGAGGTAAGAACTCTGCTTGTACAGTATATACCGCCGACTCTAACGCTTCCCGATGGTATAGCGGTAGGATGTGATAGCGGATACTGTTCGTGCAAGAACGCCTGCACGGGCACTACAGAACAGGTGAATAACTGTACCAATAAGTGCTATAACGGACATTGCTCAAACGCCTATGCTCTGGGCTCTCCGCCAACACATCCGGGCTGTTAAAAAATGCCGGGCCAAAAAGAAGACACACGGGGTACGATTGTGGAGTCTGCGGGATTGAATGAGTCGAATGTAGAGTATTTTGCTGCGGCGGTGGATGATGTTGTGCGAGGAAGCGTTCATGGAAGGGAGGCAGTAGAAGAGTTGATAGGTAGACACAGATAGCCGTCCGGGACCCTGTCAACAAAATACCATTGTATGAGGACAGGAGTAGCATATCCATGGCTCGTGAGACAGTACTGATCAGCTGAACAGCTCTAGTCGGAGACATAGATACGATGCAGGTCTACGACTCTACGTTGAGAGCATCTCTCAACTCCTCAAAGTGCGACCTCGCCTCATCCGCCAGCTTGCCTTCTGTATCGCCAATAATCGTGCAGATCAAAGAGTAATTATTCACCAAGAACCTCTCCCGCTTCCTCGCTTCTGCAACGCCCTTGCTCATCTTCACCAAGAACGCTTCAAACTCTCCTCTCAGTCTACCCACACTTTTCGAAACGGGCTCATCATCACCAGCCTCTCTGCTCAAAGCGAGTATGCCTTGTAAGAAATTCGCAAACCTTTGAGTCAGAGGATGAGGAGCTGTGGTCTGAGTGGAAGCAGGAGAACTGGTCAAACTGAGTGCCGAGCCGGCGGGTTTGCCGGACAGTGCTGCTGTGGCTTTGCGTATCGAGTCGCAATGAGCATCGATGATCTGCTGGAATCGAGGCCAGAGTAGCATATTCGTGCCATTGATGTATGACTCTGCGACCGGGACTTTGCGGCGTTGAAGCTCAAATGCGTAGTGTTGGGTGAGGCGGACGCAGCTCAGAACTCCCAAAGCGTCGTGAGATGTTTCAATAAGTTGTTTGGTGAGTGCTTGACCGAGTTCAAAGGTGGACGAGAAGATTTCGTTGAATTTGCGGTTCGTCGTTTGAAATGATTGTTGTTTGGAGAAGAATTCGGTCAGGAAGGAGTATTCGGCGCAAGCGTTGTCAACGAGCGCTAGATTCATGGCGCGGAAGGGGACTTCAAGATAGTGTGTGCCTTTGTCGTCTTCAGCGGCGAAAGATGGCATAGCGACCTCGTTGCTTCCGCCGAGAATGTCCATGCGTCGACCAATTGAGAATGGGTCGTGGAGAACGCCAGTTTTGCCACCCCTTCGAACACCACCCTCTGCGGCTATCACTTCGGTTTGGTCAATGATGTGGACATTGAGCTTCTCCAAAGAAGCCTTGTACCGGGCGAAGTTGTGAGAGTAATACCACCGCATAGTATTAATGTAAGCTTGGGAGATCTCTTCGCCTAGCTGGGGCTGCTGCCTTTGGAGAAATGCGAATACGTCCTTGTATTTCAGGAAGCTGTTTTGCTGTATGATCTGGGCATTGATGCTTGGTGAGCGTAAAGCCTTGATTTGAGCAACGACGTAGTCTCGTATGCGCTCGACAGCTTTCGCTGAGACATCGTTGATGAATGGCTTAACATCCTGGGCTGCCTTTATGTCTTTGCCTTCTTTGATCTTGACATCGATCTGCTTAGATCGTCGTTCAAGCTCGTGAAGCGATTTGATCCACTGGTCGTCAACACCGCCTTCTGTCAGCTTCCTGACCACGGCAGGCGGGATGCTGAAAGCTTCCACCTCAGGTCCAAGCACTCTCTCCACGGCCTTTCGAGTATCGAGCTTGTTATTCAGAGTCGTCGATCTATTTTGTAAGGATTCAATCTCAGAAGACACTGAGGCGAGTTCTGCTTGGAAGCTGGTCAGGTAAGATTCCACGGACTTGAGCACTTCATCGCATGCTGCGATGGACTTGTGAAGATCTTCAAATTTGTCTTTCTCCTACCAAAATGTCAACACTTGCTGATACGTATCGAAGAAGTCTGCTGGAAAACGAATATTTTCGCTGATGCTATCTACCGTGTGCGCTACCGTACATACCTTCTCAAAGTCGTGGATTACTGTAATTTCCTTGACACCATTCTCTTGTACTGGCGAGCTCTCTAACGAGGCCGTAGCAAACTCCTCCAGGCGCATGCTACCGAGCTCGATATCTTGCGCAATCGCTGCATGATCAAGATCTGTCTCCTCTGCATCATGCTTGCCAGGCCCAACAATAGACTCGAGGACATGCAAAGGGTCTCGCGGGTCACCTGCTGGCAGACTGCCAGCAAGCTGAGCTCTCAGGTTCGTGCCATTTGGAATTCTAGCCGCCGCGGGAAGACTCTCCGTAGAGCCTGCAAGCGAAGTAATGGAGAGCGACGAGGTTCTCGGCTGTATGCCTGGTCTCCTGGGTAGCGTGCTTCCAGAGAGCTGTATCGATCGTCGCGGCGTTGGCGAAAAGGATCTGGGAGTGGCCGACGGTGTCGGCTCTCTCGATGAGGTGTCTGAGAATCTGTTGAGCCACAGTGACATTGTTCTGTTATGCAAGCAGAGTGTCAACGTATGTAGAGCAGCAGTAGCTGTCTCGATAGGAGCGTCCAGGCACCTGTTTTGGCCAATCACGGAGATGGGAGGGGTCTTTCGAATTCTTGGCAGTACACGATTGGCTAAATAAGCGACTGTGCCTCCGCCTTCAACTTCAACAGCAATTCTCTCTCTACCCCCATCACTCACTACATCACTTTCCGCTCACTAATACCAGACCACACCGCCAACATGTCTGCCGACCCAAATGACGCCCAGGTATGCTATCTCCTGTTGCGCGAGCACGTGACACACGACCCCGACACCTGATATTCTCCCCGCGGCTCAAGATCGATTCTCCCCCACCTTATATCGTGCGCCCGCGCATCAATTACTGACATATCTGCTTTCTCCAGCATGAGCACACCTTCGAGAGCGCCGATGCTGGCGCCTCTGCCACCTTCCCAATGCAGTGCTCTGCTTTGAGGAAGAACGGCCACGTCGTCATCAAGAACCGCCCATGCAAGATCGTCGACATGTCCACCTCCAAGACCGGCAAGCACGGTCACGCCAAGGTCCACTTGGTCGCCATCGACATCTTCACCGGCAAGAAGTTGGAAGATCTGTCTCCATCTACCCACAACATGGAGGTTCCAAACGTCTCGCGCCGCGAGTACCAGCTTGTAAGAGTGGCTACATTGAGATATAAAGGCAAAGACGGTGAACTGATGCGAATAAAATAGCTTGATATCACTGATGACGGTTTCCTCTCCCTCATGTCTGACGATGGCTCCACCAAGGACGATGTCAAGGTTCCAGAGGGCGAGGCTGGTGAGAAGATCAACAAGCTCTTCCGTGAGGAGGAGAAGGACACCAGTAAGTTGCCAAAAGAGCTTGCTTGACATGCACGAGTCACGACTGACTTCTTCCAGACGTCATCATTCTCACTGCTATGGGTGAGGAGGCCTGCATTGATGCCAAGGAAGCTCCAAAGGGTTCTTAAGCGGCCTGCAGCATGAGTGCGCGGCGATCCATCATTTTATACGAGCGCTTACAGGGAAAGCCGGGGGCATTTCATCATGATATACGCAGCAATGAAATGCGGCATGGTCGGTGTTGTGGAAGCGAACAATCTTCGCTAGGATTATTGTCATGTGTGCTTCTGCGCGAGCGTCTCGGCTCGTGGAAAGTATCTATGAGAGTAGGCATGATGAATGAGGTCGTTGCGACCAAAAGTTTCCTTTCGTTTTGGCATGTGATATGTGAAAAAAAAAAGCTGCGTGTGTGCCTTGCTGCGCTCTTCCCTACCCCGCCCATCCTCAACCTCGAAAGTCGAAAATCGACAACCACGCGCTTACCAGATTTCGATGGAGAAGACGCAAGGAACGCAGAATGCTCACGGCCCTTCGATATGATTGCCAGCTAATCCAAAAAAATCTGACGACCATCACAAGTGAACAAAGCTGCAGCAAACCTTTAGCGCGAGTGCTGAGAGCGCACCACCTGGTACCATTTTCTTGTCCTCGCCCAGCATAGTGTGCATGCGAAAGCTACCAGTATTTCTTATAGACGATTTCGAGGGCACTGGAGTCGGCCTCTTGCCTTGGTCCAGGTCACGCGACTTCACAGGCAAGGCTTTTGGCCCGGAGCACTTGGATTTTATGAGAACTGCACTATCATTGGTCTGACGAAAGATGACTTGGAGTGTGTGTCCAGGTGTCAGGGTCCATCACGTGCCTGATACCTAAGGCTGCAACTGCTGCACTTTATCTTCGGACTTCTAGATAGATTAGTCCTTCTTCCGAATACATCAGTTACATCAAGTAGTTATAAGCCCCCTGCGTTTCTAACGCATTTCTATACGTATTCTAATAGTTAATCCGACTACTACGTAGCTAGCGCCTATTACTAAAAATTATATCGATACTAATACTATCGCTACCGCCGCCCTCGAGTGCTCTAGTAGGTGCTAGTCTGACTCGAGTCGGTTACTATTAGTATTAGCTATCCGCTATACCGGTTCCTAATAATAGTATCGGCTGTCCGCTATACTAAGACCTAGGCGCGCCTATTAGCTACCCCTTAAGACAAGTCTATAATAGTCTCTTTCTATATTATCGCCGTCGCTATCCGCAATAGCTCCCTCTACAACCTCTAGCGCTTATATAAGCAACATTCCTAAGCTAAAGAATAAGGAGAATTACCTATTATAGTCGTACGCCGCTAAAGGCGCCCTTAAAGATATATCGGTCTAGCGCTATATATAAGGCACCCGCTAGCGACCCCTTTCTAAGGCCTCTAGTAAGTCTTCTAAGGAGTTTAAAGACCGCTAAGATAAATAGGACTCTAAAGATCAAATAGCACGTACCTAGATCTTTGCTAATTATATTAGTAACATTTAATAATTACTGCTTAGTCTGTCTATATCCTAGGAAGTATAGGACTTCCTTAAGAAGAAATACACTAGTAAAGGTAGGTCTACTAAATTTATGCTCTACTAGGAATATATTACCCTTCGCTACGATAGTAAGGACGTTAAGAAGTTCTGTAATAAGTATAAGAAGAAGCTCGGTGCCTTAAAGGATACTAAATTAGCTATTAGCTAGTATTAGGCTATCTATATATTTATTATACAGATCTCTCTATTCTACGAGGCTTTTATATAGATACGCCGAGAGCAGATACGCGCCTTAGAATATACTATTAATAACAATACCCTTAATAACATTATTAGCGCGTTGCTTAATAAGAATGTAGCTTAATTAAACTAGGCCTAATATAATAGCTTCTTTAGTCTTTAGCGCTAACTATAACAATAAGGTAGCAATAGCAACAATAACAGCGGTCGAGGTAACTCGAACTATAGCGGTCGTAGTAGCCGCGGAAATAATAACAATAGTCGTAGTTGTAGTAGAAACAACTAGAATAGTTAAAATCGCGAGAAGTGCTTATACTATTAAGGCACTTACCCTTCCGACCGCTGCTATACTAAGTACCCTTATCTAAAGGAGGAAGACCGTCTTTGTCGTAAGAAGCAGAAGGCTAAGAAGAAGCAATAATAGGCGTTAACTACTTAGCAGCAATAGCAACTACTATCTAGTTAGAATAATGCTTAGGGCCTATATGCGGCTAATGCTACCCCGGGGGTATTATTAGACCTAAACTACAATTACGCCTTTACTATAAGCGCTACTATAGTTACTGTTAGCGACTAGGTTTCTACGGCTCTTACGGCTAGCACTCGTACTACTAATTAGGTTGTCGACTTAGGTACTAGTATATATATAGTTAATAACCCTTTATTGCTTATTAAATACGAAGGTTGTTATATTCCTGTCCGGTTTAGTAGCAATACGAAGCACGCTACGATAGTTAGTATAGCTTAGACTAAGGTTGTTAATAAGCGTAGTATAAGCAGTATAAAGCTGTCTAATACACTATATATTCTAGGTCTAGCAGCTAACCTTCTGTCTACTAAGAAGCTTACCGACAAGGGCTGTTTCTATCGGAATAACAAGCGAGTACTGTTTACTATTATTAACGGCTCTAAGGTTACTGTTGCTCAAATATACCGAAAGAATAGTCTCCCCTATCTATATATACCAACCTCTAGTCCGGATAGCTAGGTTGTTGCGCTTCTATCGAAGAAGGGGGTGCTAATAGGTACGATAGAGGAGTAGTATCTACGATATAGCTATATTTATTACCGCAAGCTGTTACGAATAGAAGCTAAGGGTCAGATTGTTATTACTAATAATAAAACTAGCAACAAGAACGACTTCCGAAACTGCATTGCCTATCGCATAGCTATGTTATATAAGGAATACAATCGGCTACCGCGCGTACGCCTATCTACGATCTATTACATTATCTATATAGATGTAGTTACTATTACTAACCCTAGTCTATTATAAGAGCGCTACTTTACGTTGTTTATATACGCTAAGTTAGCCTATCGGCACGAATATGCTAGCTTACTAAAGTTAGGGGCTATAGTAGCAATTAAGGATTACCGTATATACGTCCGTATACAAACTAGCTATTCGATCCCAATCTACTGCCTCGATAGAGGGGGTAAATACGGCGGAAAACAGCTATTAAGCTAGGCTTGTAATTAGGGCATTGTACTACAGGTTACAGCTCCTCATTCTTCTACTTAGAATAGCCTAGCTAAGATTAGCAATTATATCGTATATACGACCGCTCGGAAGATAATGCTTTATACTAATTTGCTAAAGGCCCTATAGCCGTATATAGTTACTACTGCTATATAGGTCCTTAATATTACTCCTAGAACCTTAGAAGGTCTTAGCCCCTATACTATTATAGCTAGGGAGCTTAATTAGTCTCGAAAGCAGCTACGTCTTTAATATCTTCGTACCTATAGCTATACTACTATTGTATACGATTATAGAGTTGCTCGTAGAAAGAAGATAGATAGTAGAGGTCTTATTAGCAAGCTAGTGTTAGGGCCAAAGAGGCTATACGTAATTAGCATGTAACTAGGCCGAGTAAAGCTAGGGTCTTAATACCTTAGGCAGGGCTTAGCGCTTAGCGTTAGGCCAACTCTCCTGCCTTCCTCCCTCTCCTCCTAGCTCCTTATCGAATACTACTTGTACCTACTACTACCCTATCTACCTACTAACATACCCTTCTTATATAGTATTCGATCTACCCTTTAAGGGTAGCAGCTAGATAGTCCTTATTTCAAGCTTTTAGCGGTATAGCTACGAACAAGACTAATCTAACTATATTACGCCCTAAGAACGGGACCTATACGTACTATTCTATCGAAACAACCGTACTAATTATTAAGCAAGGCCTTCTATACGGCCTATTACACTAAGTCAATCGTACTAGACTAATACCTACTAATTCTGCTATATCCGCATCTTAGGGGCTAACAATATATTACTAGTGTTACCCCCTATTATAATAGCCGGCTTATTACGAAACAACAACCGTGCTGCCGCTAGCAGCGCTAGCAACGACAATGCTAGTAGTATAGTGCCTGCTAAAGTGCCTACTAGAGCACCTACTAAAGTGCCTCCTACCGAAGAGCCTACTATAGGACCTACTAAAGAAGAACCTATAGTTCTAGGTAACGACCTAGAATTGCCTATCGACGACATTCTTAACAATATTGTTAACCGTCGATATAGCTAGCTAGCCTTTAGTCCCTAACTAGTAGCGAGACTTTAGGAAGCTACCTAAAACAGGCTTACTACCTTACGTTAAGAATAACAGCTAAAGGATAATCTCCTCGAGATTCGCCGTCTATAGGAAGCCCTAACAACTAATACTAAGCCGACAGCAGGGCCTTCCTTACTACCCGTCCCTGTCTAAAAGAAGGATGCTAAGCTTAAGGACTGTACCGTATTTAACGGCTCTAGTCGCAAACAATACAATAATTACATACGCGATTGTAAGCTTAACTAACGAAATGCGCCGAGGGCTCTTCTAGATGACTATTTACTAGTTGTCCACGCGATGCAGTATATTAATAGCGACCTAAAGCGCACCTAGGATAACTATTTCGACTCCCTTACTAATTAGACTACTATTTAGTAGCAAGACTACAAGACTATTATACTAGACACCCTTAGAAACCCTATACTAAGGCAACAACACGCTTAGGACTAATACCTTCGAGCTAAACAAAAGACTGATCAATCGGCTCGCTTATTTAAGGCCTATTTAAAGACCCTCGAGGATGATTTGCTAGCTAAGACCGACTCTATCTAGATTTCCGAAATACGCCCTAAATTGCGATAGGAGCTTATCCTCGAATTAGACCGTCGCCGTGTGTTCGAACAAGCTAATCTAACACGCATTTAATTTATAGTCGAAGTAGAAACAGCCGAACGGGCTGTTTAGCTCTAATAACGACTAGAATTAAGGATCCGACTAACTAGTACTAATCGTAGCAACCGTAGCCGCGGAGGAAACTAAGGTTCCTACTAGGACAACAACGCTAATAGTAGGAACAGTAACAACGACCGTAGAAGAGGCCGTAGCCGCCGGCTATATAGAGGAGGCCGCGATAGGGGCCGTAGAAGGGGCTCGTATCCCTATAATGCTAACTGCTCGGCTAATAATAGCAACAATAGCTACGGCAGTCTACTAACCGGATTGAAGTGCTTTAATTATAACAGCACTAG